CCTGCTGCCCCTGAGCCGCTCTTGGGAATTCCAGGTACTGAGAGGGAAGCTGGAGTGGGAAGCTCAACCTGGACAGGGAGGGAGGGGGACTGGGGACAACGGGGACTGCCTCCTCACCTTCAGGGCTTTGCTGGATAAGGGATCCACAGACATGTTTGCAGAAGGTGCTCTCTGGGCTGAGACCTAGGGGAGAAAGGAGGCCAAGGTCACTTTCCCCCCCCACTTACGATAAAATCCAGACTCACGACCCAGGCATTCGAAGCCCCTTTGTCTTGGAACTCATCTCGCTGCTTTTTCTCCATCCGAGTGGTCCAGCCACGTGGCCTCCTAGAACAGCTCATTTCAGCCACAGGACCTTTGCACTTGCTGTTCTCTTTACTGTTCTCTTCCTTTTTATCTCTCTGGAGCAACTTTTCATCATTTAGGTCTTTGCTCAATGCCGCCTCTTCGAAGAGGTCTACTTATTCGGCTAATACCCTCTTGTGTCGTATCACATAACCCCATTGACCTACCCTCATAACAGTGACCTCTTCTGCAATTATTTTATGTTTGATGACTTGTTTATGGCCTGTCTCTCCCTCCCACCCCTCCTCCACCAAAATGAGGGTCAAGGCCTAAATCAATGCCTGGCACATAGTGGGTGCTCCATGAGTACGCACCAAATGAATGGACTCCCCTTTCCCCCAGCCATTCTTCCACATGGGGCCCAGACATGTATATTTTATCTTATTAAAAAAGTAATAAGTACTTTTCATTAAAGTACAACCTACATACGGCAAAGTACATAGAACACATGTGTACTAGTCAATGCCTTTTCGTAAAGTCCAGCCAGCACCCCATCAATGTACAATGTAACCAGTCCCCTCCTGTCCCCCTGCCCAGGCCTCCCTCATCCGGACCCTTGTTTTGGAAAAGCTTACCCTACCTGGGGTGCCCAGAGCAAATTCAGCACTGCCCGGGGCAGACAGGAGAGCTGTTCCTAGACTGATGAAAGGCCAGCGCATTGGTGTCACCGTCTCCCCCATGTTCACACAACAAACATTTATTGAGCATCTACTATTTGCCAGACATGTGCTTGGCACTGGGGAGACATGGAGGGTGCACGCTAGGGACCAATGGTCATTGCTCTGGGCTGGGAACGGGACTGTCACACAAAGCCCCCTTTAAAGCAGCAGTCCTCTCTGTCCGCAGCCACTCCCGACCCATTCTGGCAGGCCCCAGGTGTCTCTTGGAGACACTGGAAAAATGGAAAGTGCACAGACTTTGGCACCAGACACGCTGGGGACTTTCAGCGGTTGTCCCACTTACTAGCTGTGGTATTCTGGCACATCGGTTAACCTCTCTGTGTGCCTCAGTTTCCCCGTGGGCGATACAGGGCGGCTGTGTGTTAAGTCTGAACACGTTACTTCTTTCTCAGGACCCTGCCATGGCTCCCATCTTACCTGGGTCATAGCCAAAGTCATCACAATGGCCAACGAGGCACTACGTGATGCGGCCTCAGCAAAAGCCTCTCTGACTTTAGCTCCTGCTTCACCCCCGCTTCCTCAACTCTGCTCCAGCTACACCCTCCTCCTCACTGTTCCTCAAACCCACCACACACACTCCTCCCCAGGGCCCCTGCACTGGCTGTTCCCTCTGCCTGGCACCCTCCTCCCCTAGAAAGCCACCAAATTTGCTTCCTCGCTTCCTTCAGGTCTCTCTGCAAATCTCGTGTTCTCATTCAATTTAGAATTCCCAGCCCCTGATACACACACACACACACACACACACACGCGCGCGTGCACGCACACACACAGAAACACACACTCTCTCCCTCACACACACACACACACACACACTCCATCTCCTTTCCCTCCCTCAAGTTTCTCTATAGCACTTCTCACTGTACGCAATTATTATTACCCACACACATTTTCCCTATTTGCTCAGTGTCTGTCTTCCCATCAGAGTGCCAGCTCACGACAGCAGAGATCTCGTCCACTGCTGTACCCCCAGTGCTTAGAGCAGTGCCTGGCACATAGTAGAAACTCAAGTAATGGTTACTGAATTCTCCGTGTGACTCAGGCCGAGGTGGGGACAGTCCAGGGCTTCTTAGAAATCCCCCAGCTCCTTCCAGCCCACACAGCTAGGGGGTCTGACACCCTAGAGGGAAGCAAGGAGTGCGACAGGAAAGGGAAGTTACTTCAAGAGATCCCCTGACAGAGGCAATCACCCTGGTCCTTGGGCTGGGAGAGTCTTCAGAGCCACCCAGGCTTCTCGTGGTGTAGCTGGGGGAAACTGAGGCCCAGAAAGTCCCAAGTCAGGACCCTAACGTTTCAGAGACACCACCTGGAGACCCTCATACACCACCCACACCAATCCCACCCTTCAGTACAGGCCTCTTATATGGCTACCTTCTCCTAACAGACACATCCTTAGGGAGGTCCCAGCATGTCCGCTCATCTGCCACATAACAACCGGAGGATCTTCCCATGTGAATGTGGCCATGTCATCCCCGGATGCAGACCCTCCGCGGCTCCCTACTATTCTGGGGACAGAGTCCAGGCCCACCATGTGGCTCCCATGCTCATTTCCCACCACTGCCCGCCTCTGTTCAGCATTCCAGCCACATGGAATCCCTTTCACTTCCTCTCGTCCCACGCTTTCTTGCCTCTAGGCTGCCCCACGCACTGTGACACTTCTCCCCCCACGTTATCTGGCAGCCTCCCACTCATCCTTCTGCTTTGGGCATAAACATCTCCTCCTCCAGAAAGCCCTCCCTGATCCCAGGGCTTGTTAGGCGCTGCCCACCCCAGCACTTCTCCCCTGCATTGTAATGGTCGGTTTCCTTGTCTGCACACCAGACAGGAAGCTCTCAGGCAGGAACCAGGCTGAGTCAGCTCAGGTTCTGAGGCCGCCAGCCTGGGCCTGGCAGGGAGCAGGCACCAGTGAGGTATGGATGGATGCAATCTCTGACACCGTCCACCACCCAGCTCGTCAGTGTCTGAACCGAGTGCCAAGCTCACGCCCTGCTGAATACCATTGAGAGAAAAACCTCTTGGCCCCATCTCCAGTTCTTCCTTCCCATCCGCCTCCTTGCTTCTGCGTGGCAGGGCTGGTACAGACCCCAGGAGGAGGGGAAGGGAGCAGAAGGGGTTCTGTCCTCATACTACTTGGCCCCCAGGTGGGGTATGGGAAACAAGGAGAGGAGCACTGGATTAAGAGTCTAGCCCGGGTTTGGGTCCCATCTCTGCTTTTTCTAGGTTGTGTCACCTTGGGCAAGCCTCTCCACCTTTGTGGGTCTCCACTTCCTCATCAGTAAGAACACTACCTGCTCAGAGTTTTGGTGGAGGCAACGGTAGACGTGCGTGAGCATCTGGGGAGGTATGAGAATAGCCATCTGTCCAGGAGGGGTCAGGCCTGTAGCAATTACAGAAAGACCCCTGCTTCGTCACTTTACCCAGGGGGAGCAGGAGATCTAGAGAGGTGTATCTGTTGCCTGAAGTCATACAGCAGGTGAGTGACAGCCACTCCCCAAGTCAGGAGGGATTCTGAACACTTGTAAAGGCCCCAGGACCAGGACTGAATCCTGGTCCCTTTCACACTGTCATCACCCTGATCTCCCAACAACCCTATGAGGTAATGCCCAGAGAGGTCAAAAGAGTAGTTCAGGGTCACGCAGCTAACAGGTCAGAGCCCAGGACTGAGGCCACACTGAGCCACACGCCTCCCCGCGGTGTGGACCTCACGGGGCACCCTCTCTTGTTTCCTCACCTCTGTGGAGAGGAGGCTGGACTTGCCAGTCTCCACGGCCACCCAGCTCTGAGGTGCCAGGATTTGTTTTGGGTCTCCTAGGAATATGCAAATGACATACAGATAGCCAGGGCCCCTTGCCGGCTGTTCAGGGAGTTGGATGTTAGGTGACACCCAGGCAGTCTGGGCTATACAGAGAGACATGATGGGAGAGGGGAAGCCTCTCCCTACCTAGGTTAACTGAGAGCCTGTTGGGTGCTGGGTGCTGGGCACTAGGTGCTATGGCTGATACAGAACCTTGGAGGCCTGGCTTGACCCTTTGAACATATCATTTTTCTTCTCTGGGCCTTGTTTTCTTCACTTATAAAGTCAGCACAATTGTAATAGTATCCGTGTATAAAACACAAGAGGCTTAGACAATATCAAAAATGGCAAATGGCTGGCTTATCTCACCATCATCCTTCCCCCCACTCTCGACACAGGCATCGCTAGTCAACCGCAGCACTTGTTCCTACTGAGGTTGGACACAGACCCCAAATCTTTCTCAACATAGTACTGTTTTCCACTGAGCTTGGACACAACCTCAGAATCCTCAACACGGCCCTCCAAAGTAAGCCCCATACGAGGTGGAAACTGTTGGCCAGCCCATGTTCTATATCGCGGCGGAAGATCCCACCCACTTGGCTGGCTGTGATTCTAAGTACTTTTAGGCCCCAGGGAGGCTCTGAACCTGTTCTTCTCTCCTTTCCTCCTTCCCCGCCTGTTCTAACCTCAGCCCCCTCAACTACATCCTGGCTGTCAGCTGAGGCACCTATGCGTGCCCAGGAATTCCCTAGCTCAGCAAAGTCGGGCAACCACAAAGGGAAAGTCACAAGATGGGGAACTTTCTGATAACCTCAGGTTTTTAGCCTCTAGCTCCAGGCTGGGGCTGCTGGGTGGTCAGCCGAGGGGCTGGGCCCTCCGCCAGGTTGACTCGGCCAGTCTGGTAGATCTTGGGCCTGAGACAGCAGCTGATCCAACCTCCTTGTTTTGTCATAGAGACAACTGAGCAGCTGTTTGGTGGGCTGGAACTCAGGAATCCTGACCCCCAGCTCGGGGCTCTTTCTTCGATGCCAGACACAACACTCTCACCCCAACACAGCCCTGCTTCTTCCCTCTGAGGCCAGCAGAGCGACCTCCAGGGTCTGCAGGTTCTTAACTTTCCGTTGGAGGCGTGGAGAATGCACTTCCTCTTGGGGGACTGACAGCTGCTCTGCCCAGTCCGCAGCGGCAAGCCCTCCTACAGCCCCCTCCCTGACCACCCCCAGTCCACTCCAGAGACATCCTGCAAAGGGCCCACCCGCTGGCACGGGCTCTTCTCTGGCTGCTGAGCCATTTTGCTTCCTCTGTGAGGACAGAGGGAAAAAATGTGTTTTCCTGGGCCTTGGCAGCCGGCACTGGCGGAGCCTCCTCCCTGACGGAAGGGGAGCAAAGCTGGGAGAACCCAGCACCCCAGGGAAGCAGGAGTCTGGGGATCCAGCTCCAGTTCCCCCACCCACTCACACTCACTGTGTGACTTCAGGTATGCCACTCCCTCTCTCTGGGCCTCGGTTTCTCAACACGCCAAACCTCTGCTAAGCCTAAGGTGTCTTCTAACACTGACAATCTTGGAGTTTAGAGCGTCAGATTCTGGCTTAGAACGGAGGTCCAGCACCACTGGCAGAGTGGAGGCCCAGGACCACTGGCAGAGTGGAGGCCCTACAGGATGGGAAAGGAAATCAGCGAAGGCTTCCTGGAGGCAGGGGCATGAGAACACAAACTCAGAGACTATCAGCCTTGATCACTCCTCTGCTTCACCTGCATATCCAGGTTCCTCTTTCAGCTGAACCATGACCATAGCCGTCTCCTCACTGGCCTCTAGTCTTGCCTGCTTCCACCTCTGACCCCGCATCTATCCTCCCCCTAGAGCTGTCCGAGGATCATTCCTGACACAAACCTACAAACTTAGATTCAGCCCATTTCAAAACCCTAAGATGCCAGCCTTCTCTCTAGTCCATAAAGTGGGGCCTTCAGGCCTTCACTGTGTTCTCTCTCCACTGTCTCCCAGGATCCTCATGGACCCACTGCTCAATCATTCGTTCATTCACCAATACCAAGAAGCACCTATTCTGTGCCAGATTCTGAAGGCCTTTTTAGGGCTAAAAATGAATCACAGTCTCTGCCCTCAAGGCTTCACAGACAATCGTCACTTGATCTGACAACCTGGCTCACTGGTCACCTCCTCAGGGAAGCTTTCCTTGACTGCCCTGGCTAAGTTGGAGCCCTGTTACAGGCATACCTCAGAGATGTTGCGGGTATGATTTCAGACCACCACAATAAAGTAAATACTGCAATAAAGCAAATCATATGTGCATATGAAAATTATGTTTACACTATACTGTAGTCTATTAAGTGTACAGTGCCATTATTAAAAAATATATACATAACTTAATTAAAAAATACTTTGCTGACAAAAAAATGCTGTTATCTGTGTCTGTTGGAAAAATGACGCTAATAGACGTGCTCGACACAGGGTTGCCACGAACCTTCAATTTGTAAAACATGCAATACCTATGAAGCACAATAAAACGGTGCACAGTAAAATGAAGTATGCCTGCACAATATACTTTCAAGCCACAGTGACCTCCACCTCATACGACCCATCTCAGCTGTGGTTTTGCATGTAATGTGGTGGCTCTTCCTTTGACTTTATCTCCCCTCGCTGACCTAAGCTCCCAGAGGGTAGGCTCTGGATCTGGTTTGTTTGCTGTCTCATCCCCAGCATCTGGCCCATGATGGGGCCCCTGGCAATGCAGGCTAAAAGCATCAGGCACAAGGGCCAGGGGAGCCCATATGGGGTCCCAGGTCCTAGTGAAGGCCCGGGGTGACCCAAATGGGGAGTTAAATCTTTCAGTGCTCGTTTTCCATCAGTAACTGAGTCAACCAGAGATGTTTCCTGCCCAGCTTTGAGGATGGGCCTGCCTGGTTCCTGTGCTCCTTGCGGCCACCTCCCATACCGAACCATACACATTCCTGGACATTCCTGGCCTTGGCCTGGGGCTGTTGGCTATGCTTTCTCTCCCACAGTTCCCCTGGAAAATAAGCTGCCGTTCCCCGCCTTCCACTCATTTTCCCCCATTCTGCCACCTGGATGTTGCTGCAGAGGGAGATACTGAGGTTCCCGCTGTGGTAGTCGAGCTCACTGGGGTTCAAAGATTCAAAGTTAAAAGATCCTCTGGTTCCTCACCCCAGCAAGCTCAATTGCCCGCTGCAACCCCCATGATTTTGTAGCCCTGTGGGTAGAAAGAGGGGGAAGGCAGAATAGGACCAAGGAATGCCTACCTCCCAGCCCATCCCTCAGGCTACAGGGCCAAATGCAAGCTTCCTGCAGAGCTGATAAAGCGGGGTTAGGGCTAGGCTGGGTTCCACCTCTCACACATTAACCGTTTGAGCACCAAGACCACCTGTCCCACTGCCTGTTGACCATGCCTGGCCCAGAATGAGGACTCTGGGAACTCGGGCTGGCCCAGGCCCTCATCTAGCTCCTCAGGTCCAGCCATCATATGTATGTCTGACTAGTCTCACTTGTAACTGAATCCACCAGGAGGACAGAAACCAGTCCCACCCCGTCCTCCTGTCTCATCTTCCTAGGCCCAGCAGGTACAAGCCCCAAAACTGGGACCAGCCAGAGTGGCTACTAAACAGAAGGAAGCCTGGGATTCCTTCCTACGGTTCCATTTTGGGTATTCTGGTCCTTCTTGTTCCTCCTGAGACTGAGGGCATGGGCAACTCTGGGATGAAGGAGAGTCCGAGGGTTGGCCTCCTCAAGTAGCCTGGAAAACCTGGGGACAAGGACCTGGGTGCCAGGCCACCAGGGTGCTAGGCGGAGGAGTGGTCTCCTCACCTCATCTCCAGCCCAGCCGGGAGAGGTCCTTGATACTTCTCCCCACCTTGTGGCTGTAGGGCAGGCAACAAACACCGCGGTCACATGGCCAGGGCCCTGGGAAACTCCGGGGAGAACAGGGACCCAGCCGCCGCCAGCTGGTTAGAAGGGGACAGCCCGGGCGAGAATTCCCGGACTCTATGTAACCACGAACGGGCCGCTTCCCTAGCCTGGGTCCCTATTCCGCGTTTACTCATGGGGGCACACCCTCTTCAAGGTACGCACCGCCGGTACGCAGGCCCCAAGGTCCTCACCCGCCTGGGAGCGCGCGGACAGGCGGGCGGGCGGACACACACACACACACAGACACACGCAGACACACACACACGGACACACACAGACACACAGATTGCAGACACGCACACACGCACACAGACACGCACGCACACTTTTAATGAGACATCCACACACAGACACAGACACACACACACACACACACACACACACACACACACACACACAATCACTCTCCACGGTACACCGCGCGCGCACGCACCAGGCAGGATACTCAGGACGCAGGCCAGAGAACACACACGCACGCCCGCCCTCGGACGTAAACAAACCGCGCACGCCCGGCTCACGGGCACCGGTCCAGGGACTGTTCTCACCGAGTCACGTACGTGCACACACCGCCCCCGGCCCCGCCTGGGCGGACGCTGACGCTCGCCAGACCGCACTACCCCTTCCTGCCGAGCTTCGCCGCCTCCCAGCCAGCGCCCCCAGAAGGGACCCATCACCGCCGCACCCTGCCAAGCTTGCTTCGGCCTCATCTCGATCCCCCGGACCTCTGTCCCCCTTCCCTTCCTACACAGCAGCCAACCGGGAGACGGGTACACGGGAGCACCGACGGAGCGGGCCCCGGAACCCCGCCCCAGGCATGTTCCCGGGGCGCAGAGACCCTGCCGACTCCGGGCCCCGCGCGCCCGTCCCCGTTCCGGACCCGCGTACTCACCGGCTTCTCGGCCCGCTTTGCCTGGCGCCCCTGGCACGCGCGGTCCCGCTGCCGTTCGGGCTGCTGTCCCGGCCCGAGCCCCGGTCCGTCTCCCCTCCGGTCCCGACCGCGGGTCTCTCCGAGCCGGGCTCGCGGGAGCGACGCGCCAGAGTTTTGTTGTGGGGCGGGCGGCGCGGGGGGCCGCGCGGAGTTGTAAGGCGAGCTTCCCGGAATTACTCACTCACAGGATTCCTTTCATTCATAAAAACCCAGTCATGCGGTGACGTCACCTCTGTGGCTGCCCCCCGGCCCGGG